AAAAACAAACAAATGCAAGTAGCCTATGTGTTCTTCCAGACTATCCTCTAAGTCTATGCCAAATTACATCAAAATCCGAACTGCCGTTTAGGCTACAAACTCTAACAAACATCCATCCATCTAAACTTTCGCATTTATAATATTAAGTATGATACATGTTACATTAAGTTAACGACTTATTTCCAAGTGTATAACTTATCTGAGCAGGACGCGTTATCTGGTCGTGATTTCATTCAGCTAATTTGTATTCTGCGGGCGCGGGCCGAGGACACGGCGAGGTGAGATTATGTCGACGCATTACTTGCGTCAGTTAACACTGCACCGAGGGAATTTGCGTTATGTCAAATTACTAAGCGTGATGACTGTTTTAATACCTTTTTACATACATGTGTGTATCTTTAAGCGTATGGACTAAATCTACTCATCCTGATTTTAGCGCCTATTTGATGTTAAATAATTTTAGATTGTCAACTGTTTCTAGTTTAGAATATTATAAGTTTAAGTACCTTTTAATATCCAAATAACTAGGTTAAAATAAACATTTGTTATACGATGATGCTTCCCAAATTTCTACAAGCGAATGCAAGCGTCTATACATGTTTATCACATGCAATAGCGGCAATATCAACAAAAGCAGTCAGCTGTTGAACGCAGCCAACTATGAATATGAACTCAATCTATTCACTCTTGATATTTTTATCAATTCTATTTTCGTTCCGTTTTAGTTGCACTCCAAAATATTCGTGAAAATATCACCAGCTAACTGGTCTAGTTAAATATTCCATTCCAATGTAAATATAAACAAAATCAACTGGCAATATTCATAACTGAATTGCAAAAGCCAAAAGTAGATATCAACATTAAAAAAATCGTTAAAATCAGTCGAATTGCTTCCAAATGGATATTTGTTCCTTCAAAAGTAGTAATAGGTAATTATTAAACAAACACGCACAATGTCTTTCTACCTAATCACAAATTAACATGAGGCTACTTAAAAAAAATAATAAAAAAACATACAGACGAATTGAGTACCTCCTTCTTTTTAGAAGTCTGTCTAAAGCAAAGTAGTTTTAAGTACATTTTATACCACATAAGCAATAGCATAACAGATAAAATGCAAGAATAATTTTAATAATCAAAAACATAACCAAATTGAACCTGTTTAATGAGATGTGAATTGACAAAAGAGGTAATTCCCCCGCTTTAAATATTCATTGAACAAGTAAAATAATCAATGAAATGTAAACGAATCGTTCACTGCATGTCTACATTCTGACATTATGAATTAAATACACTCTAATGATTTCTGACAGTTGAGAAATTGTCAATCAATTTAACATCTACGTTCATTTGAAAAGTTCAGAATACTTCATGAAATATTCAAACCTAAGGTCAATATGAATGTACATAACAATAAAATAACTATAGTGAAAGAGATTGGCATATTTTAAAAACCATAAATTAAAACGAAGACTTTTGAGATGGATGAAAAAAAAAACAAGAATTTCCTTATCTATTTCATTGGATTTTAATTAACGAAGCAGATTAAAAAAAATAAAACCCTATTTTCATAAATCCAACGAGAGCTTTAAAAAGCCATGATATGCAACATATTATTTGAATTTTCTAACAAAGAATGGCCAGTTTTGAAATGAATTAGACCGCTCGCGAAATATTATGTAAAATGTTTGACTGTCGAGATATTCCAACGATACCAAGAAAATAAAAGTAGACGCAATAATCATAGCGCTTACTATATTGCACTATTTGGTATAATATTATTCAAGGAGAAATAGGCGAGGGCGTATCGGGCAATTTGGCAGCGTTCGCGGCGCTTCATTTCGCCGATAGTACGTTGTTTACTGCTATAGTTGGACTCTGAGATGTTTCTCAACCTTCTTACATTTCATTCTTATTTATTCTATCATTGCCCCATACCAACGAAATAAGTCTAAAAAAGCAATTAAAATGTTAATACAATTACACAAAATGTAGATAAAAAATAATTATACCGAATTCCATTTACGTTCATAAAATATCCCAACGTTTCAATTTAAAGTCAATTATAAAACCGACAGGGAACGGAAATTCTAAAAATAAGTTCAAAGTTCACCTCCGACAGTATTACATTTGTAATTCTTTGATGTGGACCCATTCCCACGCAAACCCAAATATTTTAAGGAAAACTTATTCGCTTTGATTCACACAATAGAAATAATGTGAATAAATTCATTAACGTGTACCGTTTTATTGACTTAGCTTAAAATTAATATTAAAAGTATATTAATAACTGGCTTTTGCCTGCGATCCGACCGCATGAATAATAAAAAACGAATGTAGCCTATGTGTTCTTCCGCTCTCTATATCTACGCCAAATTTCATCGAGATCCGTGCAGCAGTTCAGGCTACAGAGTCTAACAAATATCCATCCATCTAACCTTCGCATTAATAGTAATAGTAGGATGTAATAAAATTGTAATTAAAAAACAATCTATACCTAAATCCTACTTTAAAGCAAAACTAATCCTAGATAACTTTGATTTAATCATAGAACCGTGTTCCAAATTTTCATAGCACAAGTCCGAAAAGGATTTAGCACCCTTAAACCTTGTCCATTTCTTAATTCTTGAGAATTAGTAAAGGTTTACAACTATCAGATTTACACTTTACTCTTGTAGAATGTCGTAAAAAGCTCTCGTAAGAATTTGTCAAACAAATAATAAAATAAAACAGTCTTCAGGGCATTTTAATAAATGAAAAAGAATTTAAATTAAAAGTCGTTTCCACAGCACCGAAACAAAAAAATATTAATCATCTTTTGAAATATAAATTGAGCACTTAAAAAAAATCGTCACAAAGGCGAGAGAAATGAGGGTAGTTCAAGAAAAACATTGGAGTATCGCGCTTTGTCAAACAATTGGTAAGTGTATACAATAAAAGCCACTTCCCTTCTTATTTAACTGTCATTTTAACGTATTTGTTATTCCTTTCATAATGCCCGGCGCGTGCTGAAAGAGAAAAATTGCATTTTAAAAATTTATACAGATAAGTGGCGCGACTGAGATAAAAAGCTTAGCGAGTGCGCCGTCACTGCGGGAGTTTCTTAAAAATTATAATAAGAGAAAAAAGATTACTTACGAATAATGCATACCAGAGTTTTCTAAGGAAACTAATACATTTAAAAAATAGCCTAGCCTAGAAATTGTCGTGCTAAACTATTATGTGACATGTTCCTTTCAAATGTGGTATTGGTTTGTATCTTAAAAATTTATAATGCACACGGGCGAAGTCGTTGCCACTGGCTAGTATTATTTATGTATATCGAAAAAC